AAGATCAATGAAACAAAAAGTTGGTTCTTTAAAAAGATTAATAAAATTGATAAACCTTTGGCTAGCCTAACCAGAAACACAAAAGCAAAATCTCTAATAATGTCAATCAGAAATGATAAAGGAGAAATAACAATAGATACCACAGAAATTCAAAACATCCTCAGTGCTTACTATGAAAAACTTTATTCTCCCAAAATATGAAAATCTGGAGGAGATAGACCAATACCTGGAAGCATGCCACCTTGCTAGACCAGAAAAAATTAGAAATTTTGAATAGACCTATATCAAGACTGAAATAGCATCAACTATACAAAATCTCCCCAAAAAGAAAAGTCCAGGAGACTAAATGGAACAAATGGCTTCACATCAAAATTCTACCAAACCTTCAAAGATGAACTAGTACCTATATTACATAATCTTCTCCAAAACATAAAAAAGAAGGAATCCTCTCCAATGCATTCTATGAAGCAAATATCACCTTGATCCCAAAACCAGGAAAGAACCCAACAAAGAAAAAAAACTATAGACCAATATCATTAATGAATATCAATGCAAAAATATTTTAAATGATCCTAGCAAACAATTCAACTACACATCAAAAAAATTATACACCACAATCAAGTTGGTTTTAACCCAGGGTTATAAAGTTGGGGCAACATACATAAATCTATAAACATAATATGCCACATAAATAAAACAAAAAAAACAAGACCATATGATTCTATCAATTGATACAGAAAAAGCTTTTGATAATATCCAGCATCCTTTCATGATTAGACTACTTAAGAAAATAAACTTAGATGGGACATTTCCTAAACTGATAGAGACCATTTATAGCAAACCTACAGCCAATATCATATTGAATGGAGTAAAATTGAAAACATTTCCATTCAGATAAGGAACTAGGCAAGGATGCCCATTGTCTCCACTGCTATTCAACATAGTAATGGGATTCTTAGCCATCACAACCAGGCAAGAGAAGGTAATCAAGGGTATCCAAATAGTCAGAGAGTCTAGGAAGGTGTCTCAGGCTGCCTGAGTGGTGACCTAGCAGGCCAGGATCCTCTCCCTCTGATAGAAGAGAAATCCCAGGTGCTGCCATCCAAAATCACTAGCTGTGTTCTTCATTAGCCAGACTTGGCCACTACAGGGGGTTTCAGCCTCTTTCCTTTCTTGCTCCTCCCTTGGGAGAGGGATAGCAGCAGGGATCAGGGAAACAGCTCCTCATCTCCAAACAGGTTAGAGTTGGCTGTATTTATCTTAGCCTGGGTACAGGGCCTTAAACTTCTATGGGCAGAAAGCAGTCTGAGAAGATGATGCAGCCCCAAGATACAGTGTATTTCTCCATGCCTAATTCAAATTGGGCCAAGAAGGATGATGAATAAGGAAGAACATTTTAGAGGGAGAAGATAGGAGGCCACAGAAAACCATGAACAAGGGTGGTCTTACCACCTCTAATCAAAGAACTTTTTCAAATCCCAGCATGGCAAGGTCTCATACTACCTACCCTAAAGATTTTAGAATTTGTCTGAACCTGTGAGAGCTATATAGCTCCTGTTCTTCCACTTTCTGAATAGGAGTGTTTATTATGGTTGCTCTATGTTGTGCTGCCATTAATATTTGGCATATAGAAAACTGACATAATTTCTGTATCAAGACAACTGCTAAGATGCTACCATCACTTCTGCTGCTGCCCACACCATCACCCTGTGTCCACCTGCTGCCCCAGCATGGCTGAGGAGCTATCTGCAGCCAAGTCCCACACCTAAGATTTCTACTGCCTGGATGTGTTCAAAATGCCTCTGCAGACCATGACCTGTCAGCACATTGTCTGTAGAAAATGTTTCCTGACTGCAATGAGAGAAAGTAGAGTACATATTCCCTTTGGTCATGGAAATGTGACGAGGAGAGAGTATGATCTGAACGGGCCTTAGACTGAAAATACCAGGAAGTTTTCTGGTAACTGCAGACACCGTGCAAAACAGATTAAATCCTATCTCATGAGACATCATTACAAACCTTATAAGAAGGATCAGAATGAAGATGGGGTTGGGCAAAGTGGTTCACACCTGTAATCCTAAAACAGGAGGCCAAG